AACAATTTTATCAACCATGCACAAGGCATAAATACAAATCCGGTCAACATAAACTTGGCCRGACTTCATCTCCGGTCAAGTCTTGGCCGGTTTACCAAATCCGGACAACATATCGCCCAAGGCCTGTCCGATTTAACACTTAGAATCAATTCCAACACTTTTGTCCGGATAACAAATTCGGACAACACATGGTCGTATTCATACTTCTCCGTTCAAAATATAAACCCAATGATTATAAATCGCTCAACACTTGTCCGGTTTTAAGACTAAACCGCTTAACTCTTGACCGGTTTAGGTCTAATTCGGACAATACTTACCAAACGGTTTATTTATAAATCACTTAAGCCTTATCTGGTTTAGGGTTTAAATCGCCTAACCCTTACTCGGTTTATGGCTAAATCGCTTGGCACTTGTCCGATTTAAACTTCATCCGGACAACACTTCAATGGATAACTTTTAAATCAAAAGTAAAGTTCAATCAATTTATACAACTATGAAGAACTTCAAAAGTAGTAAGAATCACTCACCTTGAAATGAGTTTGAATTCACTTTGCTCCAAAAAGAATCCGGTCAAATCTCCCTTATCTTAAATCGGTCATTTTTTTTAAAAATAGCCAAGACATGAAATGGGGGGTCAAACCCTCCTTTTATACATTTCCTTAACAGGAAAGTCGGCCACACACACGCACACACACACACACACACACACACACATCCTCATAATCATGCATGTGTGTGTGTATATATCATGTATACATATGCTCCCACATATACACATAATCTCATACATACACATGCACATACATGCATGCATATCATACATATACATATATATATATATATATATATATATATAAACATGTGCATCCACGTTATGTACATTTTCACATACTAGCATGATCAAATGTATCAATTTATCATGTTAACACATAATCATATATAACAAATAATCACATATTCATTACCTCAGGTGAAAACCAAGATCTGGTTATCATATTTACAAAGTAGGTAAGCACATTTGGAGACAATTAAGTAACTTCGTACATGTGCTTTTCAGTGTGAGGTATGTGGTTGTCCTTTTTAATCAAGAGGATAAGACAAAAACTAATCTTGTAGAGCAAGATTCATTTGATCGCTGGCACTGATTCAACTCTAGAGTTTCTTCAGTGTTTGCTGAGTCTTGGTTAGATTACAAACTTCGATTTAGACACGCTTGTTATCACCAAATCCTCTTCAAATCATGAATTGTTGTCTCTATCTTCAGCTACATCTTCGACATTGCTGAAGATTCCTTTGGTGTGAGTTTTGTATTTGAGAAATAATTGTTCTTTAGAGAAGCTTACAATACATGTTCAACAATCACTGAATAGACTCAGAGATGATCGCTGAAACTAAACAAATGCAGAACTAAGTATTTTCCACTAAGTACAATGGATCATCATCAATATCAGATGGATATATTGGGGCATCTGATTGGTTTTTTCAGAACTTCAAAGATGAAGGAAACACACCAACAACTGATTTTGCCATAGATTTTTCAACATAGTAGATATAGATCGAGAAAATAGAAGTAAAAAACCCATAATTTTGCTTCATATCTTTCTATAGATGCATAGAAAAATAGAGAGAGACATACCACCACCTATACTGTCAATCCATAATTTATAATCGAGATCGAGAGATGGAGAATAGCAAAGAAGTTTATGATAGAGAGATGTAGAAGAAAAGAAATTGTAATAGTAGAAGATGAAGATGAAGAATAAAAGCTTTAGATTAAATGTAAAACCTAAAATAAAAGGGAAAAATTAAGGAAAAAGGAAGGCATGAATACTGATACGAGGAGATGCCACATCAACATTGTATGTTTATGTTTTTATTGATTTACTAGTTGTGTATCCGCGCAATGTGGCGGGATTTAAATTGAAGAGGAAAATTTACCACAACTTAGTAGATTATCAAATTTAAAACAAAAATACAATTCTACCAACTAAAATAAAAAGTGAAGGAAAGTCATTACATTTAACAATGATCGTAGTATTCAAAGAACACCATCTACAACGCTTACCATCTTTGAAAAAGAAGACTTGTTACTATCAAGAAACACAATTAAGATGACACATACAACTGAAAAGGGTTATATGATGCTTCATAGCAGCGATCAATTGTTTTTGAAGATTAAAAAAACAAATTTAAAGAGTTTAAAATTGCACCCATAGAGGATTTGAACTTTTAATTTTAACCCACAAAGTTAACCACTTTGGGTCCTGTTTCTTCTTTGGTTTTACGTTCGATTTGTTAGAAGCAACATCCTCGGCTATTTGCTCAGAAGTCGTCTTTTCTTTACCATCACCTGCCATTGTAAAATAGCCCTCAAGATCATCACCGCTCGTAAACTTAGTCACCTTCCCTCTCGCCATCGATTCAATTCCAGTTGCTATCACCTAGAAATAACACATACTTGATCAAATACCATATCAAACCAATAAATCCAAAATAGACTACAATTTCCAATTGGTGAAGAAATCTTACATCTTTTGGCGGATTCAATGTACATGCTGGAATTTCTAATGCCTTTATCTCGACAATCTTTAGCAAAATGTGTCACACCACCACATATTTTGCAACAACAGTCCTATGGAACAACAATACTAACTAAACTCAAAAAGAAACATTCAAGTTCAATTAAAGAAGTCGAAAACATCATTTCTCCTTAGCCAACACACTCACAATGAAGTTAAAAACATGAAATTGTACCTTTGATATTTCTTGCTATCTTTGTCTTGTATCCTTAGATAATATGTGCACCACTTCCTATTGAAGCCATGATGAGCAATAGAAAACCAAAACCTTAAAGCCGATCTTGTAAATGCCAAACTGAATCGAAAGCTGTAGTTTAAATTAAGGGGAATATTTGTTATCGTCTTTCTTATGAAGGGCAGTTTAAATGTCACTATGAAATGATCAGGCATATCACTCCCTCCATTCCATGAAAATAGCAACCTTTTTTGCTCGGAAACTTTTCATTTCCACGTCCTTGGTTTGTTACAAATGTGGTTGACATTTTCTTATTTGTTTTTCATTTCTCAGGGAAATGCAACGACAATGGTCGTGGTAATGGTAATTTTTCACAATAGAATAATGTGTTCCAAGTTGAGCCAAAGAAATCCCATGAGCATTTCTTGTTTCCCGTATCTGATCAAAATAAGGTGGAGCCTAGGAGAAAAAGCACGATATTTGGTGTTGAACTTTGCGAAAGAATCCACATGCCATCTTTTGATTCTTCACAATCTTCTTCATGGGATCAACACATTTCAATAATTCAACGTAACCATTGGCTTGGCTCCTCTGATGTATCGAGGAAAATTCCAGAGGATTTTGCAGGAAATAAGCGAGTTAATAATAACAGTTCAAGATTTATGACAAATTCAAGAGCTGAAGTTCCCTATCAAAATGGTATAAACTCCAAGGTTTCGGTGTGTGATATTCTTGAAAACCTGATGAAAAAATAACGTTATGAATGGGTAGAAGAATCATGAAAATCTTGAAAAAGGGCCACCTTCTTGGCTTATGGCGAAGTCAAGTTTGGGCAGCGAATGGACCAAAGGGAAGGAACCAACAGAATAACTTGGATTCTTTTCAAGCATCATTCTTAACAATTCTTTAAGAAAACCAAAATGAGGTGCTCATGATGATCCAAAAGTTCAAATTGATAATTCTCTGAGCATCACGAGAATTCTTGGGGTCCTCATTACCGACATGCCTGACAACTCCAAGGATTTAGTCAACCATGGTCATGATCTGAATGATGAAACAAAGGATTTTGTCAAAGAGAATGAGAAAAATAACTGCATATCGGAGTTGAGACATCATATTGATTTGAACTTGTCTTTGGAGGAAAAAGAGACTCCTTCGTCAACATCATATATACCAGAAGCAATTGTCAAAATTGCTAGAAGGGAGATTAACTTGGAGGCTCCTGTAGTTCTTGAATCCGAACAGAAACAGACCCTCCAGAGATTATGGTTGACACATCTAAATTGCTTTCAGATGAAACTTCCATGGATGCCCATAAGGATCTTGTTAAAGTTGCAGCAGAGGATATTATGTCCATTTCATCATCTGAGCTTCATACAGTTCATCAGAAAGCACCAAAACCGGCTGACACTTCGCTTCGGTGGTTTGCAGAGGTGATTGCATATGGTGACGATAAAGATTATGGCACAATGATTCCTAAAGGTATGGATTAGGGATGGATTATTTCGAGTATATGACATTAAAGCTGCAAGAAACCAAAAAGAGTATTGCCGAGTATTATTTCATTATCGAGATGGGAAGTGAGCGAAGATCTTCAGACATTTGAAGAGGCGTTTTCTGGTATTGGAGTTTCTTGGCAGTCTAGCTTATCGTTATTAACACCTTGAGAGCATCAATAGTTCCCTTGAAACCTGAAAAGTCACCTCGATTGAAGCTAAATATACAGTAAGAAATTTGAGGAAGAGTGTATGCTTTACCATATTGTAAAATGTGTTTGTTAACTTGTAAATAAGAGATTTTAAGAATTATGCATAAATTAGCAGTACATAGTACAATAAAAATTGTTTTTAAGACTTTAAGACTTTATGTATCAAAATGTAGTACCTCATGTATTGAAAGTTGTTTTTGAGACTTGTCTCAAATCTGGTTTATAAAATAGTATATAGATAGATAGATATAGATTAGGTACATTATAAACCTCAATGACCAATATTATAGCTTGTTAACTAATGGCGGGGATGTATTTGGGCTCTTTTAACCCGCCAAAAGTGAAACTTTTAACAAAAGAAGGAAATTTTCAAATCTCACCAAATATCATCAGATCCGATCTCTACCGTCCAAATTTCAGTTCTTAAAACCAACGTCAGAGATTATGATCCGCGTCATTCATAATCTACCAATCAGAACAGCCTTCAACATCCTACATAAACAAACTCCCCAGATCCCACATCTCTATCATTGTACCCATTCAAACACCTTGCTATCATTTACACACAGTCAGTCAATACCAACCTCTCACAAAATGGCACCAAAGGCAGCGGAGAAGAAGCCGGCTGAGAAGAAACCAGTGGCGGAGAAGAAGCCACGAGCCGAGAAGAAGCTCCCCAAGGATGCGACGGCAGCGGGAACCGACAAGAAGAAGAAGAGGAACAAGAAGTCAGTGGAGACGTACAAGATCTACATATTTAAGGTTCTGAAGCAGGTTCATCCTGACATTGGGATCTCAAGCAAGGCGATGGGGATTATGAACTCGTTTATTAACGACATATTTGAGAAACTCGCTCAGGAGGCTTCAAAACTCGCTAGATACAACAAGAAGAACACTCTGTCGTCTAGGGAGATTCAAACCGCCGTGAGACTTGTATTGCCTGGCGAATTGGCCAAGCATGCCGTTTCTGAAGGTACGAAGGCGGTGACTAAATTTACCAGTTCTTAAGATATGCTAGAATCGTTACGTTAACGTAATCGATTTAGGTTTTTGTTGATTGTGATTGAGGAAATTGATACCGCATTTGATGTAAATCCGTCTGTTTCTTTTGCTCGAGCTAATTGCAACAGCCATTAATGGTTACCTTGAGGAATTATTAGCATTTATTCCATTGAGATGATGAAATTGTTGGTATGATTACTTGATTGTTTATAGGTTTTGATTTCGTTTGCGTAGGCATATGGAGTTTTGTTTTAGGTCTCTCAAAAATTTGTTGTATGAATCTGTTGAATCTCGATTACCAATTGGAACAGTAACCCTTGGAAAACGTCCATTCGTGTTTGGGCTATGAGTGGCTCTTTAGGCCCATTAAAATAGCCTTTCAAGTCCATGTGATTTTACAAAGTTAAATATAGTGATGGGTAAAACTGGTTTTGGGTCGGGCTAGGCTTAATTGGACCTAAGTTTTCTTATAATTGGCTATAATAAGACGTAACATAATTTATATTATATTTTCACTTATTTTAAAATAACATTATTTGTAGTACAATTAACATGTAAAAGTTGTTGGTACTTGTTTATTCGATATAAATACGGGGTAGTCTATGCAGCAGCACACAGATAGCAGAAATGAAAAACATGTGGAGTAATAGTAGGGATCGGGTATCCTTCTGTCAAGTCTAGTTTCACATAATGGTTACGGTTAACGTATCCAATTGCAAAACTTACATGTTGATACCATGGTGAGAGAGTAGACCTAAGCGGTAAGTATGTTGAACAACCTGTAATGTCTATAACGTGTAAGATCACATTATACTTGGAAACAATCAGGACAACAATTTCAGGCATAGTCATCCAATGTTCAACTAGGGCACCTCGATCTAATTGAAAGAAGTTTAAAATATCGTAAACTATATTCCAATAATGACATCCAAATATGTTGAGGTATTCTGTCTTGTATGCGTCTAACTCTTCCATCAAGTTAAACCGAATTGTTGGCCAAGCATCTTCATGAAGACCAATACTGACTTACATTTTTATTTTAATAAGTTACACCATTATAATCGTCTCGTTAATACCTTCGAAATGAGTCCAATATTGAATAGTTTTTGACTTAATTATATTATTATATATTATATATAATGTAAAAAAATATTTTTAATATTTACGATTTATATTTTTATAGTTATTTATTTAATTTATGATACATCATTTATTTATACACCGTTATCACATTAAAATACATTAGCTAAAATACGTTAAAATACATTATACTTAATTAATTTATTTTTTAAATTTATTTTTACACTTTTATCACGTTAACATACATAAACGTATATTAGCTAAAATACGTTAAAAAAAACGTTCTATTTTAACAAATTACACCATTATAATCATCTCGTTAATCTCCTCAAAATGAACTCAATAATGAATATTATTTGATTTAATTATATTATTATAATCGTATTTTCAATACCTTTGAAATGAACATAATCGAAACTTGTATTTATATTATGTTCATAAAAAAAAACTTTTAAATTGACATTTTTAAAAATATTTAAGTAACTAAGGTAAAATTTTAATAATGCTATATATATTAAAAATATAGGGGCACGTTCAAATGAAAACCGTGCATTTATAAGAAACCGTGTAAACTAATTTCGACCAATAGGAAAATTTCATTTTTTCTAATTAAATTTAATCAATAAGGGTATTTTGGTCATTTACAATATTTTCAATTAAATATGGAAATTATTAATAAATCTTATTAAGGAAACGTAATAAAGGAAATTTTATAAATGGTAACATTTAAATATTTAATTATATTTATAATTTTAAAAATTTGAACTAAATATATTGTGATGCTATTGAATCTGCTGGTGAATCTTGCAGATTATAAGGCGTAATGTAATGAATTCGTCAAATCATGATTGAAAAAAGAAATTAATACAAATGAAACATGTGTCATGAAAGTGAAACTGGTTCATGTCATAATTGAACAATGAGTAGTGAAACATTTTCATGGTGAACCCGTTTCATTGATGATTTAGTTGATCCATTTAGTAGGTGAAGTGGAAAATGAAACGAGTGCATAATGTATTTGGTTCGTCATGAAATAATTGCATGATGAAACGGGTACATGATGAATCTGTTACAGAATCTTGAACATTGTAATCTGCTCCAGAATCTTGAAGATTGTAAGGCTTAAAGAAATGAATTCATCAAATCACGGGTGAAATAAGAAAATTAATGTACATGAAATAGGTTTCATGAAGGTGAAACTGGTTAATGGCGTAATTGAACCAAGAGTAGTGAAACGAGTGCATAATGTATTTGGTTCGTCATGAAATAATTGCATGATGAAACGAATACATGATGAATCTGCTCCATAATCTTGAAAATTGTAATCTGCTACAGAATCTTAAAGATTGTAATCAGCTACAGAATCTTTAAGATTGTAAGGATTAAATGAATGAATTCATCAAATCAGGAGCGAAATAAACTAATCTATGTACATGAAACAAGTTTCATGAAGGTGAAACTAGTTCATGGCGTAATTGAACAATAAGTGGTGAACTGGTTTGATGGTGAACCCCGTTTCAGTGCTGGTGTAGTTGATCCATTTAGTAGGTGAAATGCAAAATGAAACGGGTGCATAATGTATACGGTTTGTCATGAAATAATTACATGCTGAAATGGATTCATGATGAAACCGGTGTGTCTTGAAATAATTTCATAATGAATAGGGTGCATATTTACATGGGTGTGAAGGACATTGAAACAATTTTAGGATAAAGAATAAAAAGACTGCTGCATTAGCGAAATTATTTCCTAACAAATATAAAATTTTAATTTCCTAAAATAAAGAATAATGCCCTTCAATAGGATGTTACCGAATATGTATTTTTGTTTACCATTTTGCCCTTATTGCTGATATAAAAATAAAATTTTAATATATATATATTTTTTAATTTTCTAAAATAAAGTAAACTAATCTTGACCATTGATCAAGAAAATGGATGGATGAGATTGGTTTATACGGTTTACACAAATGGAGACAGTTTTTATTTGAACCCTCCTCTAAAAATATAATACTATAAATGAAAATTATATATAGTATTAATTTATATATCTAGAACCAGCTGTATAATATATATGTATATATAATATTTATAATATAACTTAAAATAATATTAATATACAATGAGTAATATATAATAATAATAATAATAAAAAATATAATATATTATTGATGAGATTTGACATTTAATTAAAAATAAAGTTCTTACAAATTTCAATGCATTCAATCCCATTCAACACCCCTATTAGGGCATCTCCAATGGAGGTTAATGGGGAGGATCATGAATGCCATTACATGCATCATGCATTGTGAAAGGAGGTTAATAAGAGTTGCATGAAATAGAGTTTCATGGCCATTGTACGCATCATAGCTAAATCAATGGGACCCACTAATTTATTTTTTCTTTTATAATTAAATTTGTAAGGATTTAATTATGAT